AAGGCAGGATTCTGAAGTGGGAGTGTGCAGGGTGGGAGGTGTCATCAGCAATGCTGATGGCTCTGCGGGTGAGGCGGGTGTTAAAAATGTCCATAAGGGAAGGCAGAGGGGCGCCTTTGACCTTGCTGGCTGTATTCGCTATGTGTTGCAGGGTCCTTCTGCAGGAGGCAGTACAGCCTCTGTACCACAAAGTGATGCATAAGATAGTAATATACATTTTTATGTTAGCTAAATGATGAACTTCCCCTAGGTCCCTGGAGATTACATAACTAAGGCTCTACCAACAGTGTCTGTGTTGTACCTGTACAGCCTTGAGTGCACGGTCAGCATACAGAACTCCAGCACTTATGTCCACCACTGCTTCATCTCCATCAGCCAGGTTGACATGGGGGATGTGTTGGCTGAAGTTGTCATGAGTCAGGACCACCATAGGAATCTTGTTCCTCCGCATAGTGTTCTTTACTAGCTGGTAACTCTGACTATTCTCTGGTCCCATCACCAGCAGTCCTGTTTGTCTGGGAGGGAAAATCAGTAATGATGAAGGTGGCAAGGTCAAGACATACTGTATGAAAGCATTACCATTTAATCCAGCTACACTATGTACAAACACTGCAAACTGCATCACAATTTTTTTTTTTACAAAAGCATCAGCAAAATCAGACATTTTCGGCCATAAAAAAATCTCTCTCTCCCCCCCTTTTGTTATTATTATTACTATTATTATATTATTGCAACAAAACAGCATGGTAACAATTATTTACAGTAGAAAGCAGAGAAATTTTAAATGTGGTTTTTGTGTGATGGTTTACTGTATAGGTATATTCATCTCAATATCGAGTCTGGTAAAAAAAAGGAGGGAGGGGGACTAAAGCAAAGGAGAAAAACAAAATAGATAATATAAAATAAAATAAAATGCAATAAAGAGAGAAAATGAAACACAAACAAAATAAATAAATAAATCAACCCCGAAGTATCAGCACCAGATGAGCAAAGGCCACTATTAGAGAGTGCCCCCAAAGTGGCCCAACAGGGTAGGGTCAGCCAGGTCAGCAATACTGTTGATTTATGGTTACAAAGCTGGACTATTCTTCTGCTTTATTGTCTCACTTAAATAATTTGACTGTTAATGCAGTGCTGGGTCACTCCCTGACCTCACAGGAGAAACCTGGCCGGAAGCATGATATAGAGTATACAAGGTGTGAACCCATAATGGAAGTGATGTCACACATCCAACTCTAAGCCCCACCCACATTCAAGACACAACAAGCTAGATGCAGATGTAGGCTTAACACAAATATTGCTTTTCTTTCTCTGTTCTCTTTCCAGGTCAGAGCCTATCTGTTGCGGCACTAGGCAGCTGCCAAACACCCTTCTTCATATAGTATATGTTGACAATGTATAATATGCCATTACAATGGTTTATCCTAGGTCCTTCCAAGCCAACCACTGTAAGTCTTTCACATTTTACATGAAAAATCAAAGATGATCATTTTGAAATATTACTTTATTAATAAGTGTATCTAATTTATATTGTAATTTCATTTATTTTGTACAATTATTAATATTGTAACCAGTTAACAGTGATTAATTAATCGGAATAATTTTGTTAACATGGGTAGGGTAGCCTGGTAAGCGATTACAAAACAGAATAAAAAAAAAGGTCAAGTTGAATACAAGTTAAAAAGAATTCTTTGAAGGACAGAACAGTAGTGATCGGAGGTGTACTGTGTTTACTTGAGCAGCAATACTCGATTAGTTGAGTAAATATACAGTTACATATGGAATTCATGTACACTGAAATGCACTCTCTCTCTCGTGCTGGCATAACACGTGTGCGGTAGATTTCTCTTCTTCTTTCGGTACTTCCCTCATCACATGATCGCTTTACTCTCTTGTGCCCCTAATGCTGACAAATGTACTGTTTCTGTAAAAAAAAGACATGTCAATGTGTGTGATATATGCTCTGCATCTAAGTGAGACATGGATTCCCTCATCACATCAAATGAACCCATCAATATTAGGGAAAATAAAACTAATGCCCAAGTCAATGGCTGACAGCACCTATTGAGAGACAGTCAGAGAATAGCCTGAATCCCCATTAGGGTGTCAATATGCCTTAATAATCTAATAATCAGTGTAACAGTGTTAAATATTTCCCTGAATGTGCTAAAGCCTAATATAATCCTTTGATGATATAAAAATATAATGGCTAAAATTATGTCTAACCTTTTCCCATGAGATAGCCAACTTTTATGACATGCAGCTATGGTTTTTATTGTACACACCTGCACATCGTAAATCAATAAAGTCCGAAAAAACTATGTGAAGGGCTCAGATGTGGGCAGACATAGGATCGTAAACGTGACGTAACCCTCCTGTCATAAATCAATCCCTTCACACCTTGAGTCACAGGTTGTACCCTTTATATCTCTAGGTGCATTAGTTGGTGGGTGAGGGGTTGCAAGGGGAGTGTTGCCCACGTTGTAATGAGTCGATGCAAGTGGTTTCATTCATGGTTTCCATTATGTTTTGGTTAGCCATGCTGCTAATGTTGCCTACTCTACCTTAGCACCAATTCTACCAACTTTTTCACCACATAGGGTAGCATCATGTTGACGCAGCTCCCTGCTGGGCTGGTGCTACCTGCAGTCCCCCACTGAAATGAATGGGGAGAACTGTATCCCCCCCACCTTTGAAAATCAGTTTGAACACAGCCTTAGTCCTGCTCAAGATAACGAGAAAGTCATGAATTTATGGTTTACATAGATTGAGTTGCTGCTCTTGGGGGACATAGCACCTTGAATGTGACAAATTTCTATGTTCTGGCAAATATTTTGTAGCGCTCAATTTATTGGGTTTCCCCTCTGTGTGCTTCTACTGACTGCTTACCTGTACAGTTTGACATCTGCCTCCCTCTCGAGCTGAGCCCACAGCTCATAGCACTCCTCCATCATATAGGTATAGAAGTCCTGTTCATAGGCCTTGCGGATGATACGGGTCTGGCCATGGGAGCTCCCTCGGGTGTGGGGCAAGACAAACTGAAAAAAGTGAAAATTATCACTTGGTTCAAATTAAATGACTTTGATTTAGGAATAATATGCTATACATCAAATGGCAAAAAGTATTTGGACATTTTAACATTTTGTCTATCTAAATTAAATATAAAAGATTGGGCTAATAAGAAAAACACCTCAGCACAGTTTAAACTACAGCCTCTAGTGACCATACAGTACAAGTCAATGAGCACCTCTCTAAAACAGGTTTTAATCAAAGGTATTTTTAATAATAAAACAAGGGCTACAGACAAAAATCGAAGCATATTATTTATCATATACAATAACAAAGACTACTGTAGATCCACCTCTTAATACGTACAGATGTACAACACCAAACAACCAGGACAATAACACCATCAAAACCAGAATACAGATAGGTCAAAACAGGAATGGGAAAAAAGGAAAACAGGGAAAGAACAGAAGAGGCATTTAATGCTGTGCAAATAAGACATATAAGGTGTAGTGGTTAGAAACAAACAAACCAAATATAATAACAGATAACGTATAATATCATCAAGGTACACAGTATATTAGTCAAACCTTCCAGGTTTCATATTCTCCACAAAATTTATGAATGGCTGCCAGCTAATGGTAAACCTTTTTATAGACCCAAATCTTTCCAAATTGTATATAATGCAGAATGTCACTAATCCAGTGTCCATATGTTGGGGGTGTAGTGTCCTTCCACTTGAACAAGATAAGCCTTCTGGCTCGAAGTGATTAAAAAGCAGTTAACATTGGCTTAGCTTCTGCTTAGATTAACCCCTGGAGAGAAGATACCAAATATTGCAAATAGGAATTAGGTATCAAAGACCAGAGCCCAGAAATTGGATAATCATGGACACATCCAGAATATGTGAAGAAATGTACCACAGACCAATGATGACTATATTCTTTGTATTGCATTAGACCACACTTCCTCTAGGACCTGCTCCCCGATGTCCCGCTCCCATTTGTTGTTAAAACATTCAAGTTTACATGATTACTGACAACTGAGTTGCTCATACAGTATATTTTACATACAACTCTTTTTACATCTGTTAAATCAAATCAAATCAAATTGTATTTGTATAGCGCCAAATCACAACAAAAGTCATCTCAGGACACTTTACAAAGTAAGGTGTTTTATTACACTATTATCACAGAGGGAAAACCAAACAAATCACCCTTGAGCAAGCACTTGGCAACGGTGGGAAGGAAAAACTCCCTTTAACAGAAGATACTTCTGACAGACCCTGCCTCTTGTTGGGTGGCCTTCTGCTTTGACCGGTTGGGGTGAGTATATAGAGGAGAAAGAAAAGAAGAAAAGCAACAAGACACAAACTAGAAAAGTGCATTTCCTGTTGTAAATGCGTGTGG